ACCCATGACCATGGAGATATAAACAACTTTTTATAAGGTAAAAATAATAAAACAAGGTCTTTGTCTGCAATGATTAGACATGTTTTTTTATTATTGTCATTAGTGATTATCTCAATTTCGGCTAAAAGACTTGACAAAATCCTACACACTGTGCCTTTAATGATACAGTGTTGCAAAAAACAATATCACCATTTTTTCCTCTTCAACATAAACAGGTTTTAAGGACAAACTTTTATATTAACAGTTTAATCTTGAAAGAAACTGTCACAAGTTTAAAAGGTTTTAAAGAAGAGGAATTGCAGGTGACAGTGTTGTTGGAGGAATTCATTTTTAAGTAATTAATAATTATTTTGATGAGTAAGAAGTGATGGAATAAGGTTGCAGGAGAAGAGCTGGGCTAATATGAATATACGGTAATTGTGGTTTTTTTAGGTAAAATGGAGGGCTGTGAAGAACTGCTGCTAGAACGTGCAACGCTACACGGCAGGTTAGAGGAGCACGACAAGGCCCTGCACGTCCTGGTGCACAAACTCAGAGACTTCCGGTCGGCCGAGGCCTTCTGCCTGTGGGCCTCGTCGTGTCGGGACTCCGCCTACCAGCGGCGGCTGTTTCACCTGCTCCTCGCCGTGTACCTGGACAGGAGCGAGAACTCTCCCGCGGCGGGAGGGGGAGGCGACAGCGAGCTGGAAATGGCGGCCGTGGATCTCCTGAACCGGCACGGCGAGGCGTTCGACGCCGTCCGCGTCCTGCGAATGCTCCCCGGGGGCTGGTCGCTGCAGCTGCTGAGGCCTTTTCTAAACCGAGCCGTCAGGGCGAGTACGCACGCCTGCCGCACCTCGCAGATCGCACTGGGGCTCGCACGCTCGGAAAACCTTCAGGTGCTGCACGACCGGGTAAGCAGCTCAGCTTTTACTAGACTATTATACGGGATAAATCTTGTGCCAGCAGGAATAGAATTTGAATTGCTCAGATTGAATCTGAATGTGCATAATTTGAAATTTAATGCATTGGTTTGAAAAAGAATTTTACTAAATTGAAACTAAATTTAATGTTTTGAAACTTAGTCTGTGTCCAAAACGGCAGGACGGGTCCTCCGAAGGCCGTATTTGTCGGCCGCATACGTCACAGCGCCGCGACGAAGGACGTCCAAAACCGAAAACTCCTCCGATGCGTCCGACAAATACGTCCTTCCTTTGGCCCGAATCGAAGGACAGGTCCGATGGATCCTTCCYGGCCCAGCATATCCCATAATGCATTGCGGCCCGACCGGAGATTTGTTTAAGCTAGTAATGGCGGATGAAGCAAGAGAAAATAATATATTTTAAATAAAAACATGGTGATATGAGAATTAAAAAAAATTAGCGGTTTTAATTCTAATACTTTTATCATTTGTATGGACATGTTTTAAAATATTTTTATCATGAAAAAACGCGAAATAAACATGCAGCTACAGCGGGTCAATTAGTTCTTCAAATGATACCTTTAAGTTAATTTTATAGTTTTGTGATATTAATAATGCTAATGAATTGATATTTTTCTAGTTTTGATTTAAGTTTGCTTGTTTAGCGTCGTCACAGTTGCTAGGTGACATGACGTACGCCGGGGTAAGGAGGGGAGGCTAGACCGTCCAAATCCACAGCCTCTTTTTTTTTTTCCGGTCTTCCCGGTCTACCAAGGACCCGGCCCACATCGACCGGGTAGTCTGGGTCCTCTGGAGGACCTGGCCTGTCGTTTTGGACACAGCCTTAATTTAAAGTTTTTTTTATCAGAATTAATTTGCTTTAAAACTGTATTTTGGTTTATTAAAACTTCAGTTTAACTACTTTCACTTCCAGTTCCATAATTCAGATTTTTGTGTCACATCCTGGTCCTTGAGAAAGCCAGGCAGAGTAATCAAACACAGATCCACAGATGTATGTTTCACTTTGGTGAAGTTTCTCTTCTGTATGTAACAGAGTTGATGCAATCCACTGTAAAAGTGACAAAAACASACAAAGTTATTTTATTGCAGTGATTAATTTGACCTATATGTAGAAAATGTTACATTTACATCACATCATGGATCACATCTTGATCAGATGCTGCTGCTGACTGATCTATGATGTGATGTAAATGTAACATTTTCTACATATAGGTCAAATTAATCACTGCAATAAAATAACTTTGTCTGTTTTTGTCACTTTTACAGTGGATTGCATCAACTCTGTTACATTACAGAAGGGAAACTTCAAAGTAAAACATAAATCTGTGGATCTGTGTTTGATTACTCTGCCTGGCTTTCTCAAGGACCAGGATGTGACACAAAAATCTGAATTATGGAACTGAAATTGAAAGTAGTTAAACTGAAGTTTTAATAAATCAAAATACAGTTTTAAAGCAAATTAATTCAGATACAAAACTTTAAATTCAGTTTCAATTTAGTAAAATTCATTTTCAAACCAATGCATTCAATTTTCAAACCATGCACATTCAGATTCAATCTGAGCAATTCAAATTCTGTTCCTGCTGGCACAACATTTATCCCATACTATTAGCATTTTTGTCATTTCAGCGAAATTGTTATTACCTACTGATTTTTTTCCTCCCTTGTCCAGTTAAAAGAGGTTAAGAAGCCCATCTTTGTGTCGGAGAAAAAAGGATGCCACCTGTGCCACAACACCTTCAGCGAGCCGAACGTGGTCTGTCTGCCGGGAGGAGTGCCTGTCCACGCCCACTGTGTCGCGCAGAGAGTGAGAGACTCTCCCACCAAAAGACGCTTGACTAACAGCAGCAACCAGACGTGAGACCGGGCGTTTCGCGTTTGCCGTCCCGACGTGTGAGCGGAGCCGGAGGCGCCGAGCCTTTTCGGACGCCCGCGGGGAGGAGGAAGCTGCAGGACGAGCCGCGGAGTCGCCGGCTCCCGCAGCCGACTTTAAACGAGGAACGGATCATTTCAGCTATTTATTCATGTGCCGAAGCTAAAACCGCCCGTCCCGTCTTCACTCACACACTTCAAACGGTTTTAATAAAAAAGAAAAAGGTTTTTTTGAATCCAGTCGCTAATATTTCTGAAGCATGAATTAATACAGAAACCCATTTTGTTCTTGTCTATTCGGCTTGTATTGTAATAAAACTTGTCCTGACTTGCACATTTGCACGTTAGGTTTTATTGTGAAACACTAAAAAGACTCATCAGGGTTCTTGTGTTTGTTTTTTTATTTTTTACAATCTTTTATTCACTACTGCTGCTTTTCCCTCCTCAGATATTTATGTTCCTCAGAGTTTTACTGGATGACATCATCCCAGAAACAAAATTCAAATTACACCGGATTGTTTAAAGTTATTGAGGTTAAAAACAGACTTTATCAAAGAGTGAAGTTTTAAAGTTCAAATATAAGACGTCAAAAAAAACTTATTAATACACGATTTCAACCATTTTGTTACATAATTGGCGTACTTCCTTTTGAACTTGACCCAGCCAAATTGAAACAGGAAGTGACATCATAGGGGAACTCTTTGGTCTTTGTTAATAAATCATTTGAACTCTGACTCTTCTTCTCTCTGATAGAGACTGAAAATGAAAACATCAGATTCTTCTCTACAGTCTGTTAGCTGTTGTAGCAGCGCTCTGTTTACGTGCAGACACTCCCCTTTGACATCACTTCCTGTTTCTTCACATGCAAATATCTCAACAACTGTTCATCTCAGTAGTGTGATTTTTTCCCCCTCAATATGTTATCAATATTATATCTTTCCAAAAATGCATTTATATTTATTACAAAGATTTAAYGTCACAGGCACTTTAAAGTTTCACAGCTGCAGCTTGGACCAGTTCTTAAAACCTGCAGTCAGTTTTTAATTATCTTTAAACATGTGAAATATGGCAGMAAATGTTAAAAACCAGGGGCAACCTGTGGGAAATTAAGCTTAATAAACAGACTCTGAGTTAAAAATATTCATTTTTTTTTTCTATTTTCACTTCCTGTGACACAAAAGTAAGTGAACACGGGCAGCTAAATTGATTGGATAATTAATTGTATATGACACTTGTGTGATAATTATGAAGGTTTTGCTAATTTTAATCATTAATTAAAGATTTAGGCGCGAGAACTCTTTAGTAATTTAAGTTTTTTATTACAGTTTGTGATAAATTCACAATTGATGACGATTTACTGATAAATTAGTTATTTTTACTGCTTGTTGCGTTTCTGCGTGGGCTGTAAGAAACTTTATCACCACAAGAGGGCAGTGATGTAACAATAAATAAATTATAGGAATTAAATCCAGAATCACTTTTTATTCATAAACAATCATTTTAGGTAATTAAAAGTTGATTTATAATGCTCATATATCTAATTGAAAGCAGTTTCAGCTGTGAGATATAAACTTTTATTTTGAAAATTAATAGTTTTGAAATCATTGATCTCAATGATTGATTTCCTCTGCATTTCTAATTAAAACAAGGATTAAGTAATTTTTAAAAACACTTTTCTCCCTGGTTTTAAAACAAAAAAWTTTATCTGAAGAACATTCAGGACGACATAATTCATCTCAGCTTTTGTTGCTGCCTCTTCTGGAGGTGTGTTATGGTTTTAACCTTTAAATCGTGACACCTCACTCAGAAACACAAAGAGATGGAGGTCAGCAGATTTCTAATGTTAAAAAAAATACCCTGAAGTTCTTTACGGGCTTGTCATCGCAGAACACAACCTGTCCTTTACTACTTAAATAATGTGTGTCAAAAAAATAAAAAAATAAAAACACCTTATAAAAATTCCTCCTCCGCTGAATTTACTTATTTTGTGTGGATGGTCTGATTCAGGGACATTTTCTTTATTGCTTGCCTCCTAATATTAATTTAAAGAGAGGTTTGAAAACACTTTAAGCACTTACTCCTTGAAAACACTGAAAAGTACATCAGAAAAACAAAATACTCAAAACTAAGACTAATATTTATCATTTAAAAAATCCCATTTTGGTAGGAATACATAAAATTACCTTGTACCCAGTACTTAACCAGTAAATACCTGATGAGTACATTATAAAAAAGTATGAGGGCAACAATAGAAATGATGTCACTGTATGTACCTGTTTTTTAAATGTTAGTGAACAGTTTTAGTCTTCTTGTGGAAAATGAGTTGAATACATGGAAAAGTGAAATAATAGCTCCCCCTGCCGAGTCTTCTTTATAACTGCAGCTTGCCTTTTTTTTCAAACGTACAATACCGTCATCTGCTGGCTTTTCTCTGTAACTGCAGTCTTCCACTTTAAATAGCTCCCCCTGTTGATCATTCACTAAACTGCAGCCTCCCTAAGAAATAAAAAAGCGCCCCCTGCTGACTGTTCACTATAACTGCAGCCTGCTGATCCGAATAGAAAAACACAAACGCCATCTTTAACCGACAAACTCCCACCGAGGCAGAGTGTTTGTGAACCGAATTGAGGTCAGACGCCCCGAAACCCCGCAGAAGGCCCGCGGACAGCCTCGCTTGGACAGCCCGCAGTGAGTGTTTGCTGACTCCCGGTCACTCGGCGCCGTCGTATGGTCCAATGTGCTTGATCGGCCGGCCAGCTCGAACGCAGTTTTCCTCTTGTGTCGGTCCCGGTTGAGTTACCGCCTCTAAATAAATAAACAGACCACGGTGGAGCTGAAAGCCAGGTAAGAAATAATTATCCGCATTTGCAATGAATAAATACCTCGTTGGTTATCAACCTGCTACAAACAGCTAATATTTTAGCTAGGTTTAGCGGTTTGTTTGGGTTCAGCTACGTGTTTTTTTAGTTGTATTTACACGTCAGATATCTGGACATAATGTATTTTAAAACAACATTTCCGCGAATAATTCAACATATCTCAACTGGTGAGTTTGTTAGCAGGTAGTTGATGTGTTAAAGAAAGCTAAACAAGCAGATCACAGCTAAAAKTGKCAAAACTGTAGCTAACAGCTAAGTATAGCAAAGCAGTAGCTTGCTAAATGTCAAAACATTAGCTGACTGCTAAGTATAGCATAACTGTAGCAGTAGCAAAATGCTAGCAAAACAGATACAAGTTAACTTGAGCAAATAATGTAGCTRAAATAAGATTAGCAATATAGCAGCAAAATGCTACATTTAGAAAAATCTAACAAAGACAAAATAACCAGMCTAGTGGTAAAATGCTAAACGTAGCAAAACTAGCTAAAATTAAAATAGCAATATTGTAGCAAAATGCTAAACTTGGCAAAATCAAGCAAAGTTAAAGTCAGCAACATCGTAACATGATGATAAAGTGTAGCTAAGATAAAATCAGTAAAATGGAAGCAAAATGCTAAAAAGCAAAAATGTAGCTAAGATAAAATTAGCAACATAGTAGCAAAATGCTAACAAAATTGCAGCTAAAAGTTAAATTGAACAAAACTGAAGCTAAAAGTCAAAAATAAAATAGTTGCTCATAGCTAAATAGAGAAAGACAATTGTCTAAAAGCTTAATATAGCAAACAAAACAAAATGGCAACAATACATAAAAATGTCTTAACGAAACAGAAGGTAAAATTAAATTTTGAAAAGACAGCTAAAAGCTAAGTATAGCAATTCAATACAGGCTTAATAAAGAAAAACAAACATCTAAACTTTAACATAACAGCAAAAAAAAAAACTCAAGCTCAGCTTCAAGTTAGTTATGGCTAAGCAGTAGCTAAAAGCTAAATGTTGCAAAATGCTTCATTTGTGCACATGAAGGTTTGGAGATAAAATAATGTGCACAAATGATCTGAATACACAGAATAAAGTTTTTTCCCCCACAACTCAAGTTTTTACTCCTGATGGCACAGTTAGTAAAAAATACACATTTTAATAAAACTCGTCTTGGGTTTGAGCATCTGGATTTCGTGAACCTTTCTTCTGTTTTCACAGGATGAAACGAAGTCTCCAGGAGAACGAGCGGGAGGACGGAGGAGGCCCCAGCCCCGGGTCTCAGAAAACTTACAAATGGACGAGCAAGCAGAGGAGAGAGGAGGAAGAGGAGGAGGAGGAGGAGGGCAGCTGGGAGCGTTTGCCCCAGGAGATCCTGCTGCACATTTTCCAGTACCTACCTCTGCTGGACAGGGCTTTTGCTTCACAGGTACCAGATAACAGCAGTAACAATATTTATTTTATTGCTGCTCCCAGTGTTCGTCTGAACTCAGCGTTTATTCTGGCAGCGAGCGTCTCGTTCTGCAGAACTCCCCGGTGACTCTCGTTGAAAAGCAACAATTTAAAATCATTTGTTTTGTTTGGAAGAGAAACAAAAGGCCGTCTGCTTACTGAAATGATTGTTATTCACTGAGTAAGACAGAAGTTTCAGCTCATTGTAATCTGTTCCCATCTGCATCACTTTTTATCACTTAAAAGAAAATCATCACCAAACACAGAAAACGTTCACGTAAGCTTAGAAGTGATGAAATTTTAAGATGATTAGGAAATGTTTTCATGCCWATAAACCCATGTGAATGCTACACGCTGAAAACTTARGCTGCTGAAATTGAGCTGAAAATATTTAATAGCAAAAATATCAATGTGAGCTCACTTTGAAAAGCCAAAAGTAAATAAAAAAAGCTAACTTTCCGTAAAAACAGTGAAAAGGATCACAAATCTAGTTGAAAACAGCTAAAAGCTAAAATAGCTGAACGTGTAGCTGAAAACATGTAAGAAGCATAAATAGCAAATTGGCAGGAGAAAAACACAAAAAGTAGAAAACATCAAAAGAATAGCAGAAAAAAGCAGATCTTAAACTGAAAAAGAATAAAAAAAGCTAAAATTAGCATAAAAATAAGTGAAAGGTAGCAGCCACAAGTTGTGATTAACACCCAGATAGTGAAAGTTGTGTAAAAAAATTAAATTAGCAAAAAATAAATGCAAAAACAAAAGTGCAAAAAAAGTGTCAATTTGTAGTAAAATAGCTAAAACAGCTGAAATTTTCAGTAAAACAGCTAAAATATAGCTGGAAATTCAATTAGCATAATGAGCACATTTGCATAAATCACTTGTATTAGCTTTAAAAAAATGTGTAAGCTTAAAACAGCTAACTTTAGCTAATAACAGYTGAACTTTAGCTAAAATTGCAGAAAAATAGCTGAATATAGAAAAAAAGCATCTGTCAGAAGCATAAATAGCACAAAGTAGCAGAAAAAGGCAGAAAAAGGCAGAAAAATATCAGAAAGAAGCAGAATTTTAGCTGTAATAGCAGACAAAAGCTAAAATTAGCAAGAAAGTAGCTAAAATTAGCACAATAACTAAAGAGCAGAACCAGAGTAAATTGTGTAAGGTGCTGTAAAGATTTAGAAACATTTTGAAGGCTGTTAAGGATGTTGAAAATAGCTGCATTCATTTTCAATGGGGAAAAAATGTGGCCGAAATAGCTGAAAAAATATAAATAGCTGAAATACCAAAAATCATAGCACCCTTGGCATAAATGAGCTGAACGTTTTGATGTGATGCAGCAGCATCACACAATTATCCATTTCTTTATTTTTATTGTGCCTCAGAGGTCCTTTAAGACGTCCTGAGGTGGTTTATTTAGCTCACAACACACATGCTGAGATTATTTTCATTTTCTTATTTTGCAGCTGAGAGGTTTAAAAAAATTTTCATTCCTGTTTTTTTTTTAATACTTCTCTGGTGGATTGATGGATTATTGCTGTGTTTGAGAATGTGTACGTTAAATCACAACGTTTCAAAAAGGGCTGCAATGATCAAAACACAGGTTTGCCGAGGATGGAACCAGGCCTTCCACATGCCAGAGCTGTGGCGCTGCTTCGAGTTCGAGTTGAACCAGCCAGCCAGCTCCTACCTGAAGGCCACGCACCCAGACCTCATCAAACAGATCATCAAAAAGCACTCCAACCACCTTCAGTACGTCAGCTTCAAGGTACAACAGAGAGGAGTTTAAACCCCCGCTGGAGTTGAAGACAAAAATAAAACTAGGTGTGAGCTGTGTGTTTGTGGCGTGCAGGTGGACAGCAGCAGGGAGTCGGCAGAGGCGGCGTGTGACATCCTCTCGCAGCTCGTGAACTGTTCTCTGAAAACTCTGGGRCTCATCTCCACGGCCAGACCCAGCTTCATGGAGATGCCCAAGGTGAGCCTGGAGGGACGAGACGACTTAACGGCTTTTAACGTTTGGAGTGCAGTTTCTCTGACTGATGGTGAACTGTTTCTATGGCAGGCCATTTTAACTAGGGCTGTGTATTGGCAAGAATTTGACGATATGATACATATCATGACAGAGGGGTCACGATACGATATATCCC